CACACACACACACACACACACACACACACACACACACAGTTTGTCCTGACAAACTGCTACTAAATGCAGACAGCAGTGAGTAACACACTCATACATGTACATAGAGATGCTCAGTGTGTCTGTGCGCCTGTATTTAATTAAGTTACTATTCCCAGAGGAAATTGGCCATTAAGTACAACAGCACACACTCTCACACACACACACACACACATTCTTTTCCATTCAGCCTTCAAAATAAAAGCACAATGCCAGTATTTGTCTCCACCAGACACAAGCTGGATCGATGGGGTTTTATTTTTGTGACTATCAAATATTGACGCTTTAGGTTCAGGAGCTTTAGTCGGGGAGGGAACGTGACAAAATGACTCAAACATGAGAAACAGTTTGTGGTTTTCAGACGTGCTCTCACTCTCACTCTCCCGCTCTGTTTAAATTTTGGACGTGGTTCATCCGTCGCTCACTCAGCTGGACGGACGATTACGTGATGAAGTTCACTGAGAGCTGATGGATGAAAGCTCCATGTGAACAGACGGAGGGTGTTAAATGATTCCTCTCCTCATTTCTCCCTCCAGTTATTCCAAACGCTTTTTTTCTTCACCTTTGCTTTGTCATCCCTCCGCTATTAATCTTCCTCCTCCTCCTCCTCCACATCTATGATCCTCTTCCTCCTCTCTCTTACATCAGTGCTCATGTTTCCTGACGTTGATGCGTTTGTGTTGAACACGTTATGTTCATGACATAAAATCCATCAGTAAAATTAGTGACTGCGTATTTACAGATCACAGCAGGGACTAGTGGACATTAGAGGAACTGCAGTTGAAGACACTACACACTGACACTAGAGAGAAAATACACACACACACACACACACACACACACACACACATTTTGTCCTCCTAAAACCAGATGTTAATCAGAGACTGTGAATTAAAAATGATGGTTGACTCCAGGTCGGGAAAGTGAAGCCAAAGTTCGTGAAACCTGTTTTCTGTTTAACGACCAGCAGGGGGCGACTTCACTGGTTGTTTCTATAGAAGTCTATGAGAAGATGACTCTGCCTCTCACTTCATAACATCAGTAAACTTTTTCAAACTGACTAAAGACGACACCGGCCCCCTGTAAATTATTAAATTATTCATTTAAACAAAACAGTGGAACAGATTACCTTCTCCTTACGGCCCCAAAAACAATAATGTTATTTTTAATAGCCCTCGTTCATGAATAAAAAGTTACAACAAACATAAAAATGATGGCGTTGGACAAAATACCAAATTGAAGCCCTCAAAACATCGGCTCAGACACCAATGGGTGGCGTCACGGTGGATTCACACTTGATCTTAACCTTCAAAAGGCCCATTGAAGTTGTGAGGACCAGACAAAATGCCCCCACAACCATACAAAGACATGGACACACACACACACACACACACACACAGGCTAATGCTGCTGTTGCCAGGGACCTCTTGACTCCATGGCGACGGGCCTAGTGACTGGACAGGGGTTACCATGGGGATGACAGAGCCACACACACTCTTCCAAACTTTGTCCACCGGCCCAGAGATGTTTAAGGTTTAAGACCCAGCAGGAGAGAGAGAGAGAGGACGAGAGGGAGGGAGGGAGGGAGGGAGGGAGGAGAGAGAGAGGTGAGGAAATGTGGACGAGCAGAGGGGGAATAAAAATAAATGTGAATTAAAATCAACAGGAGTTAATTTCCCCGTTGGGAGAAATATTTCCTTATGAATTAGAGAGAATGAGAACGAGCCAAGTATCAGATGACGTAGATCAGTTAGAGAACAGCACACACACCAGGAAACTTTATACAGAGGGGGGGTGGGGGGGCAGGATACAGCTGCTGAGCACAGCTGGGGGGGGGGGGGACAACTCACTTTCTTCTAATGTTTAACGTCTCAGTCATCGTCTCACCTGGTTAAACATCTCATCATCTGTTCTGAGATAGACGACACGACGTCTCATAAAAAGTGAAGCCAAATCATCTCAATCGCCCCCTGGTGGCTGGCTGCAGTATAGGTCAGAGACAGCCACATCCTACATGTTAGTAGATGGGACATGAACCAAACTAAAGGAAATCAAAGAGGGCGTTAAATAAATGTTTGTGGAAGATGGTCTCTGTGATTTCAGCTCCTTCTTATCTCACTGATGTTTGTTCAAGTGTTTCTCATCAGTTTGGTTTTAATTCATCACTTGATGATTGACAGCTGAGATCCAAGATCACGACACCACAGGTTCTGGATTCAGTGATGTAATCGCCGCAATGTAATGACTCAGCTGATTGGCTGTGGAGTGAGAGTGCGTTCAGGACGGCCGCTGCTCCCACTGTGTGTGTGTGTGTGTGTGTGTGTGTGTGTGTGTGTGTGTGTGTGTGTGTGTGTGTGTGTGTGTGTGTGTGTGTGTGTGTGTGTGTGT